GGGGGGGGGGGGGGTTGCTGGGGCTCTGCGTTCGGTAGTTCGCCTGTGGAAGGAGACTTTTTTATTTCGGTTCCACGATCTCTTCATAATGACACCCCAGCAGATTGCTCTCATGGTTCTTGCGATAATTCGTTGGATGAGGGTGAGGAAACAGATGGCAGTTATGTGTGGCATTTTGTTTATCCAATGCATGACACAGATCATCATGATGAGGAAGATGATAGCCATTTTGTTGCTCCTTGCGCACGTGTCGCTTGCGGAGGACGGGCACGCCATTCTGGCCTGCCACCATTGCCACGTCCTCGACGGCAGCGGTTCTGGGTAAGGCACAGAGCCAGCGGTACGTGGGAAGAGCTAAACATGGTGGGTCCCGAGCACGACAAAAAGTTCAGAGAGTACACACGCTTGACTAGGCACATCTTCCAGCGAATTGTCGATCGAATCTCTCCTCGAATCCAAAGGTTAAACACTTCGTGGGGCAAGCACTGCCGGCGTCTATGAAGTTCGTGTTCGCCCTTTACTGTTGGGCAACAGGCGGGTATTACAGGCAATGCGGCAACGACTTCGGGATGGGACTGCATAGTGCTGTCCGGTGTACGGAGGACGTATCGACAGCCTTGCTTGCGGAGTACGGGGACACGGTGAGGTGCTCTACTGGGGCGCATTTACGGACTACTCTTGAGTACTTTGAAGGCAAAGGCTTCCCGGGCTGCTTCGGTGTTATAGACTGCACACATGTGTATCTGGACAAGCCACGCAACGGAAGACCAGAGGCGTACTACGACAGGAACAGGCAGTACTCCATCGTCGCCCAGGTTGTGTGCGATGAAAACCTTCGCATATTGGACGTGTGTATGGGGGCGCCAGGATCTGTTCACGATTCTCGTGTGCTACGAGTGTCTGATCTGTACTCCCGCGCGGAGGAGGGGAGGGCACCTTTCACGAGGAGGACGAACGTGTTACAGGACGGAACTGTCATGGGACGGTACCTGATGGGAGATGCAAGTTACCCGGTTCTGCCATGGTTGATGACTCCATACCCTGCAGTGAACAGAACTGCAGAGCAGGTGGCATTCAACAACAAGTTTTCTGCATTGCGTAGCGTCATTGAACGGTGTTTCAGGCGGCTAAAGGGAATGTGAAGGTGCTTTGGTCGCAAACACATTGCGAACGTGCGAAATGTTTGCAAGCAGTTCCTCGCGTGCTGCATTCTCCACAACATCATCATCGACGAGGCGATTCCCGTGGACGAGGAGCTACTACGGAGACAAGCAGATGAAGACGAAGAAAGCGATGGCGACGACGACACACCGGAATCCGATGACAGCGGTGGTGACGACGACCCGCCGGATGGGGACTTCGACATCAACGAGGCGCTGTTACGTTGCGAGGGGTCTGTTATCTATGCGAGCCATCGCCAGCGCCACCTCGTAGCAGAGCGTTTGAGGGAGGTTATACATGCACATTCGGACCACGTCGTCAGAGTTTTTTGATAGGGTGCTCGATGCTCGTCGTGTGGCACGGTTTCTGTCGTTCTGTAACCGGTCATG